CATTCATGTAGTCCGTCGCGAGTTTTTTTTAATGCGATGCGAAGCAGGAAGCATTTCTGTTATGCGTCGCGAGTTTTTGTTTTTAAAGCGATGCGAAGCAGGAAGCATTTCTGTTATGCGTCGCGAGTTTTTTTTTTAATGCGATGCGAAGCAGAAGCATTTATGTTATCCGTCGCGAGTTTTTTTTTTTCTTTCTTTTTTACTTGAGATCGTACGCATCATTTTAGTCGTTTTCTGACACGATGTTGAAATGTTTAGTGGTTTCATTGAGAAATATTGTGAATGATAATAGTTTAACCAGTATTTAGGATATAGCTATCAATATTGTTGAGAAATTTATATTTTTTCGTATTACCAGGTGAGAAATTTATACATTTTTTCATAACCGAAAATTTGATAAAAGCTTCCCAGTGGATGAAAAAGTTGCGCATTGTAAATACACTAAAATGGATTCAAACTCTAGATTAAGGTATTTGTGTGACAGAAAAAAAGATTAAAATCTTCATCTGCTTATTAAAGGTGGCAGAAGTAACGAGTAGCATGCACCCGTTGCTAACGCCGGTAATAATAAAAATATATAATACTCTCATAACTATGGGCTGTAATAATAAAAATATACGATACTGTCGTAACTGTGGACTATAATAATAAAAACGATAGATTTTGATGATTAATTAGAGATTAAATCCTAATTATAATGATTTCTAATTAGTGAAACTAGATTTTTATTACTGATGTGAGTAGTGGTGAACATAGACAATCGACCTATACCAAAAACGTTTCTAATTAGCGCATATAAGTGTTAGTTTTTTATGTGTTATGTTTGTAATAGGGAGGGGTGGGGTAGGGTACAGGGGAGCTGCAAAAACCTAACAATTAAACTTACCCTCACTATTTTCTTCAAAAATATATGAGTTCTACAAAATAAAACCATGTTGAAAATAACCAAATGAAATATGGAAGAGCAAATGCAAACATTATTCTTCTTCGTATGTTAATATTTTTTCTAGGTAGGATCTTAAATAAAATTTTCATAGCATTATATGTTTTTTTTGTGCTCAAAAAGTGAGTACACTCTAGATTCTATCAGTGTGTCCGGCCGTTAACACGATAACTCTTGAAAGCCTCATCCAGTTGTCTTGAAATTTTGTACACAGAATTATTCAAAACATATATAAATCGACTCAGTTTTTGCAGTACACATAGCAATCGGATGCGAATCCTATGTTTCCTAATTTATTCTTATTATTTTCAATTTTTCATTTATGTAAATTCTCCACCCTAGCTTCGATGTTATAGTTATACCTAGATATTTAGATGTCGGAACAAAATCAATTCTTTGGTTTTTTGTGTTTTATTATCGAAAATGATGGAGATATTATGCTATGAATTAGTAGAGCTTTTGTTTTGCTAATGTTAACCGGTAACAAATTATTTTCGGCAAATATTTCCAACCTTATCATCACTTGTTTTGCCGTTTCTTCAAGTTCTATTATATTTGCTGAGGATTTTTTTTCAAGCGACCCTGTTAATACTATCGTAATATCATCTGCAAATAGATGAGCTGTCGCTTGTAGAAATATTATCGGTAAAAAAATGAATGTGTAGTCTAAAGAGTGTAGCCGCTAGAATTGAACCTTGAGGTGTACCAACAAATGTTTCTATTATACGTGATTGTTCATTACCATGATGTATTGAAATAGTACGTCGATTTAGTAAAGACGTGATCCACTTGAGTAAGGAAATAGGCATATGTAGTTTTATTAAGGTAGAGATTAAAGCAGGGAATCACATTTTATCAAGCGCAGATAGGAAACCGACAAATACTACCACTGCTGGCCTGTTACAAGCAGTTGTTGTGAGTCTAAGGTCTTCGGTTAGAGAGGCAATTCTTGTTTGCCGTCTTTTTTGTGGAGTAAAACCAGATTGTTCATCAACGAAAATGTTATTATCATTACACCATTTCAGTATTCTCTTATGTATAATTCTTTCGAACCATTTTCCAATGTTAGGAAGGAGTGATATCGGTCTCAATTTGTTTTCAGAAGGATATAGACCATTTTTTGACAGACATATTATACTTTAGCATTGTAACGATTCTTGAGTTTATTATCCAAAAGAATGGTCCCTCTCTTCCCTCGCGTCCACTCTTCATATACCGATCGTGGGACGAAAGAAGGAGACAGAATATCTTATACAGAGAAAGGAAAAGAACAATCATTGAGTATGAACAAGAACGGTTGAGACTTAAGATAAACTCATTAGTGATATATACTCATATAACGCATACGATTATATTGAGCATAATGAATGATAGACGCACGATACGGTAATTAGCACTAGATGAATATGGAAGAGGAAAGAGTAACGTATTAGACAACACGAATGATATGATAAGTTAGAACAGCAAACAGAAACAATCATTCCACACAATAGTGACAGTATATAATGATGCATAGACGTTCAACCCGGGTTGTCACAAGCATGTTTACTTGAATTAAAGAACTCTCCTTTTGCTGCGCAATTATTGAATAATGTAGTAATGATCGGTATATATTCGACAGGCAGTTGTCGTAACATGAAGGCAGATATTCCTGCGCTATCAGATGACTTTTTTTGCCTTAAACTTTTTCCATTCATCGGTTACTTCGTTAATTGAAATTGTATCTAGTGGTATATTTGGGGCATACTTGATTTGATTATAATTTATTATTGAATCAGTAGGTGCGACATTATTAATATCGTAGTTTGGTTCGCTAACGTGTTTTCAAAGTGGTTTGCTACGATTTCCACAATTTTTTCAGAATCATGAATTTTCTCATTTCCATACGTTAAACCTTTAAAAAGGGGGCGGGGGGTGAAACAGTGGAAGGAAGGGTTGACAAGTTTTCATATATTTTGACCTTGCATTATACATTTCGTTTTGTTTTCCATCCTTGTATGAATATAATTGGAGCGTTCAGTAATGAAAATTTCTTTTAATGTAATATAGTGTTGTAGGGATATGAGAGACCTGTTTCTACGATATTTACGGCGTGCTCTGTTGGTTGATTTCGCTAGAAGGACGAGGCAAGGTCGCCATGGTGGTCTGAAATGACATCTTTTTTCGTAGGTACTGCACTTATCCCATAAGGCTGAGAGGAATGAAGAGAAAAGATTGAAGAACATTTGTTCGTCAAAGTTATACACAACTGATAGCCAGTATTCATTTATTATCCAAAGAAAAAAAATTGAATAGTTTCCAATTGGTTTTCCTAAATGTTGATGTTACGTCGATAGCTAATGGTGATTGTATTAATAATGGGAAGTGGTCCGATGTTCCTTCATCTAATACTTGAGATATCCATCCTGATGCATCTTGAGTTATACCAAAATCTATGATGGCATTGGATCTTTTGGATGTGAATTTGTTTGATATAATTAGTTCGTTTCCCGTTGATTCCAGTCAATTTTGTAGTTGAACACCAGTTGTATTGTTTTTTGAGCATTTTAATTCTGTATGATTGCGTTATAATCACCAAATATATAAAAACAATTGTTGATATTTTTGGAGAGTAATTGAAAAGGAGGTATTGAACGAGGAGGAACATAAATTGTCCTACGTATATCGATTCTGACGTTAATTCAACTTCTATTAAAATATAATTTATATCTGTTTCGATTATTTTATATTTAATTGATTTTTGACCCAATACCATTACTCCACCAAATGCATTAGTTCCTGGTTGAGAAATTGTTGGGTAGTTCGGGAATGTTATATTCCTTTTTACAGCTGATCCAACACCAGTAAGTATGCAAATTAGAGGATTATAACTTGCTATTAGTATATCTACATCAGTAATATAAGTATTCAAACTTTCAACATTATAGAGTAAGATTGAGAGATTCTTTTTTATATTCTTAGGTATTTTTTTCCATGTATTACATAGTTCAGATACCGATACACGTGAATTCCATTCATTATACATTTCGGATATTTTGATTTTTTCCGTATTAAATCCAATGAAAAGGTTAAGAAGTTGGGGAGAAATAGTCGGCGAAGAAAAATGAAAGAAGCTATTGATCATTATTAGAAGAAAGCAGACAATTTATTCCGTGTGTTATCAATTTGTTTTGTTGATCTACTAGTTGTATAAATTCATTTTGATTGCCTACTAATAAGTTGTTTCTATCTTCTATTAGCGCTAGTGATTGAGATATTTTGTTTTAATAAATCCTGAGTATCAGATTTATGAAGTTTATTGTTATTTAACATACTGTCCTTTGTAATAAGTTGTAGTACTTCAACCGATGGTGATAATAAGGATACTACTTCATTTATTGAGCTGTAACATCGTAGGAGATTATCATTTTGGTTTTTCATTTGTTGAGACATTGCTATTAATACTGCATTAATTTTGCTTATATGCACATCATATTTTGTTTGAAATTCCTTCATCTTCGTGTTAATTACATCATTTTATTTATTAATATCATTTTGGTTTTGTTTTAGATCATTCCATATTGAGTTTTCATTTATTGAATTATAATTATTATTTTTGGTGTCGTTTATTAATGATGGTCAAGCATATGATGAAATATTGAATGATTGAACATTATCTGTTTTGTGTTCATATTATTACTGTTTAACTTATTTTTATGATTAATCAGAATCTTATTATATTTTTCATCTTTTGCTCTGCATTCCGTCGAAATGAATAGTTGAATATTAGGTGGCAGTAAGTTGGGTTTTTCTTTGAGACGATAAAGAAGTGATCTTCTATAATTTATTAACAAAGAACATTTGAAGTCGGTTGATAGATGGCTTTGCTTGCATCTATGGCAACATATTGTACATTCCTTATGTTCACCAGTACTATGATCGTTGCCACATCGTCTGCATGCGTCATACTGAAATAAACAATTTCGTCTCATATGCCCCGGATCATTGCACTTGGAATATATTAATAATCGTGGTGGAGTCAAGAATTAATTAACCTCCATTACTTGCCCGTTCAGAGTTAATCCATTACTGTTGATAATTTTTTATATTCATCTGAACAAGTTAGTTCTAAACGTATGTGCCTAGATTTTTCCATCATGGAACCTTTCATTTTTTCTAAATTATAGATTGATTTATAAGCTGATCCTATTTCATTTTTTATCTCTTCGTTAGTAATATAATTAGGTACGAATTTTAGAACTATGGATTGTTGTGGTGGTAAATGATTCGATTTCATTGGAATTATATCGATATTGCATAGGTTGTTTGGATAGTTTTGTGGCTCACACAGCAAGACGTATAATTCAATGTGACGAGTGTAACATGCTACATCACGAGATTTGTCTACAAACCAGTAGTCAAAACCTACTGGATGATCATATTTTTGTTTAGCTCCCTAAAAGGATTTTCAATATATACTAATAGCGATTTAATTAGATTATTTGCTTCGTTTTGATTAACTTTAGGCTGACACATGATTTTTAATGATGTAAAACGGTTCTCTACAGCATAATGCAAAGTATGATTAGATATAGAAATTGTATCATCGTGTTCATCATTTGAGTTGCTATTTTGAAATGTATTTCTGTCTGCTTATATTTTCATTTTCAGTATTACCATTAATGCATGATGTATTTACTTCATTTTCATTCATCATTTTATTACTTTTATTATTATATTTTATGTCGTGACGGTCACACTGGTAAGTATAACGGTAAGATTTATTATTTTTAACAATATTGCTTGTTCTGTTCTCACTATTTATCAACATACGTCCATAATTCTCGTTTGATTTCTTCATTGTTTCTAAATTTGGTTCGATAATGCATAAGTCATCGTCATTGTTTTGTTTTTCATTGTAATCATTGGTACGCCTTTGTTTGTGTTTATTGCTTTTACTTACTGTAATAAATTCTTCATTTTTACTTATTTCATTAGTTTGAAAATCTTTTTCTTCATCACCATATTGACTTGTTAATGTAAGATGTATTTTGAACGTATGAGTTTGTTTATTATGAACTACATTCCTTTCAATTTCATCGATTCGTTGTTTGTTTTGATTTACGCTATCTAATAACAGTTCACCATTTAAGTCGCTAAAGCGATCTTTGTTATTTTTTATTGAAGTCACACTTTGGTCAGATAAATAATAGAACATTTAATTCTATTTTTAATGTTCAGTAATATATTTATTAATAAATTAATTATGCACGATGCACGCTACAACAGTATACGTACATACAGCAGAAGAAAGAGAATACGTCTTACCGCTATCGTGCAATGACAGAAGTGAATACTTTTCAACTTGAATAACTTTTCCAATGTTAACCCTTTGAATACCTTCACTAAAGTTGTTTTTATTCAATGTCTACTATTGTTCGTTCCTTGTATTCAGACCTTAAGAGTAGTTTTCTTTTTAATAAATCCATATAAGTATACGAATTTCTCACTTTAATCTCATCGGAAATACACTAATAATGTTTTTCTTCTTTTTTTCAGTCCTTGTTAGTTGTCTGATTGCTTACTTTAATATATTTCTTCTATCTATCAAATAACCTTCATTTCACAATGGCGGATAATATTACGACTACAACAGCATCTACGGTATCTATCGGTGGTATTCCATTATCAACGTCTATTCGATTTGGACTCTTAATTGGGTCAGAAATCCCATCTTTGGTCTGTTCACTCTTTGTTCTCTACAATTTCATTTTTGATCCAGCCCTACTCCGTTCGTTAACTCATCATGCTATTATTTGTTTGAATATCACTGGAACACTTTTCAAATGTATCGATGTTCCATTGTATCTCAACTACACTATAATGGGTGAGGTATGGCCTCCAACAGCAGCTGTTTGTTTGGTTTGGTGGCTGGCTGATTACGGTTTCTATAATGCTTGTGTTGTATTCACTGCATGGATTTCAATTGAACGGCACATTTTTATATATCATAATCACTGGTTATCTACTCCAAGGAAACGTTTCTTCGTCCATTATCTCCCATTATTCTTAATTATTGTCTATCTGCTTGTGTTTTATGTTTGGGTCATTTTCTTTCCACCCTGTGAGAATATCTATGACTATACATTATCAACATGTGGTGCAACACCATGTTATATCTTACAGCCTATACCAGGTATATGGGATGCAGCTGTTAATGGCTGTCTGATGGCTGCAATCATCGTCGTCTTTAGTATTGGTTTGGTCATTCGCGTATTGATGGGAAAGTGTCGTCATCATCAAGCAATGCATTGGCGTCAGCATCGTAAAATGACACTGCAGCTAGTATCAATTTCTTCAATTTTTATCATTTTTGGTTTACCAAGTGCTATTGTCACATTTATTCAATTATGTGGCATACCGTTTGATGAAGGAAATATTCTGTTGCCTTATTTCTTTTTTACTAGTTACTGGCTCATATTCCTGATACCTTTCGTCTGTTTACACTCTTTACCCAATGTAAAACAGAGAATTATGAAGATTCTTTGTATTTCACCTCGACAACAAGCGGCCGTTGGTGTTACTATAATGACAGCTCCACGTCATACCACACGAATGTAATGTACTTTTGAATAGCAGTAACTTAAAGACATAAATATTCTTTTTGTTGTATATCGTATTTCATTTATTGTATTCTTCATAACTTAAACATGTAATAAACGTCATCATATCTTGGTATATTTTTATCTTTTGCTGATTAAGTTTTCATGAATCAACTGAGATAGCTCTTTATTTGTTCTTTAGGCAATAGTTTATAAACTAAAAACATGACAAGTTGATCAAAATAGATCTGATTTTGCAGTAGAGAATAATTATCCGGAAGGAATCATATGAACTATTAATGAAAGAGAAGCACTAACTACAAAAGGGTGCACCGACAGTTGAGCTCCCGACACTTGAGCCTTACAAAAAAAATTATTTGAATAAATTTAACAGCTACATCAAAAATGAAACGAAGCTCTAGCGTGTTTAAAGTACATATCTCTTGTTATTATATAAAAAGAAGAAACTAATTGTTGTAATTATTCATCTATACGTTCGCTGATAATATGCTTAACACAATATCTAATACGCATTTTGGCAGAGTCCTTCTTTGTTTTGTCATCAAAAGCATTGCTTCTAACGACGGAAGGAAACAGATCATAAGAAAAGCTGATAAATAATTTACTTGTTGTTTAATGAGGATGAAATGGACACTGCCGTTTTATAAAAAAAACGTGATAAATAGAATTGATCTAGAAAATGCTCCATATCAAGTTTCTATTCAAGAAAAGTCTTTTAAGCAAGGGGAAACGGCGTCAGTGAACTGCTATTTTTCGAAAATTATCAGAGAACAGTAAGAAGAGATAATATTCGCAATAAAGATCGAGCTTTTAGGGTATCATCACCAGACAAGATATTGCGTTGTTTTCTTATATTCGTTTGTGTGAGATGTCTATGCTTATCGTTACAATGAATATGTACTTCTATTTGCAATGATTTTTCATGTATTAACCGGAAATATGGTTTTTGAATTCGTACGACTGAATGTACCAGGTGTTCTTCCAGTATTAACTACTCTTCAAGGGCTTCCTTTAAATAAATAGCATCGAATAAAAGAAGCTGCATTTTGCTTTGATTCGTTATCAGTACACATGAATTCGCTGAAAACAAATATTGCGGTTGTTACAGAAGACTGTATACAAGTTATAAAGAAAATATCTCATGACAGTCTTACTAACTCATTTGTTGATCTAGTACCGCCTTTAAATGATGGAATATCTACTAATCTACACTACAAAATAGACTTTTTTTTACAAAACTTCGTGACTGGTTTTCTAGCGAAGATCGTTCACATCTTATTAATATTCATATGATGCAGCCTATAACTAATATGCAGATAGCAGCTAACCCGTTTTTACTTTCTATATTTGGAACAAATAACATATATGAAGTAATTTATATCATCCGTCTATGAATATGGATATTCGAGCAGAATTCATTAAAAAATGTTTATATTGTTGGATTTTCTACGGATGGTGATCCAAAATATATGCGCGCAACGCACATATATAAGGTTTTTTTGATGCATTAACCAACATTAAATAAAATAGTCACACAAATGCGTTTCATGTTTAAATTCCAAAAGAATGGAATTGGTATTTTCTTGATGACAGTCATCTATTTCTATGCTTCCAAGTTGCTAGACATTTTTGTACAAAGCTACGTAATCGAGTTCTATCTCATATAGTTAATACTTTTTTTATGCACGGTTCTCAGTTTTTGTGAAACACGATCTGAAAGCAGTGTTGAAGTATATAGGGTAGAAATTTGGGCACGCCCCCCCCCCAGACAGACCGTTACAGAGAAATTAATTAATTATTTATTTATTTTCTCTGCAACGGTCTGTGATTGTTTCTGAACTCTCTTTGACGACCTGTGATGGTTTCTAGAGACTCAATGCATCATAATACAGACCGCGACAGAGAAGCTCCACAGAGCATCTTCGACCGTGATAGACGAATCCCAGAAAAGGAGTTTCATCGTGTTTCACATTTTAATCCCACAGGGATTGCGCTAGGGGTGTCAATTTACAGTTTATTTAATTTAAATTTAACTTCGTGAAAAGTTAATTTAATTTAAATTAAATTTTTGAAAATTTATTTCCCGATTTAATAAATTTTTTAAAATTAAAATGTGACACCCCTAGATACAGTAAAGGTTTACTGGCTATAGCAAATGAGTTGAATGTCTTTGTCCCAAGAAAATGTAAACTCAATGATTTAAAATTATACTGCTATCGCAACATGCAGCTTTTAAAAGCGTGAGTAGAGATTTATTTTCTTATTCAATATAACAAGTAATGCATGTCTTTGTCTACTCTTTTTCAATTGTAGGTCAGCAAACTTGAAAACTTAACGGCTGAATATAATATCGAAATAATTTTTACGTCGAAGTACCATTGTGTCACTAATCCGATTGAAGGATATTGGTGCCACTCAAAACAGTATATAAGAAAACATACAGATCAAAGTTTTCAAAAATTAACAACTTTAATGCCTGAAGCAAAAGCAAATTTCATTCAAAAGCACGTTCACCTCAAACTTTTTCGTCGATTTTGGAGAACGATCAAAGCATACGATCAATGGAAAGATTATCTTGAAGTACTAAGAATGTTTTTTAGTGGATTGTGTAATGATCAAATCATCAGTCACCGTAAAATCACAAACACTAATCTTGACGATTAATACATATAACTCCATGTATGCTTAATTTCTTCTATTACTATAATATTTATCTATTCTATTTTTTAGGTTCTTATTCGTGTTTAGCTATTTTTTGTTATGGCATGCCAATAAAAGAAGATAAAAAGTGTAAAATAGGACCTAAATATCAATTCTAACGGAGTATAGCTCGATGAAGTTTCACAAGTCGACTCACTACACTCCAGAAGCACCGAAACCATCCCCATTGAATTCTGCATCGTTTTTATCTATTCCACCATATTTCTACAAGTTCTGAATGAGAAATATATTTTTTATTGAAAAATTAGACCGTTTTTTCCATGGTGCCGTTGTAGACGCCTTTTCTCAGCATGGGAAATGATATTGAAAAAACCGAGCTATAATTTTGTAGCTCTTTAAATGGCGCTTCGAATGACATATGAATACAAGCTCTATCTATCAGAGAAAAAAACGAGATAGATTTACAAAAAGAACCAGTACAAAGCAGAGTCATATTGAAAGCTCGTCTTTTCAAATTGAATATGCAACATCTGATAAAGATCTAAATAACATATCTAGACTCATTTTTCTACGAGGAATTAGAAAATCAAATTGGTGAGAACTAAAAGTTGAACAGGAAAAAAATAAACGTTGTTTCCCAAAAAGCAATTTTTTTGCTGATTTTTACACCCTCTCAATTTTTTGCAGTTTTGTCCATGAAGATTTTCTTGAATCGAAAAAGTAAAGTAGATATTCGTGATCAGCGTGAAAAACTGAATCTACTGATGTACATTTAAGCAAAAAATAAGAAGTACTGTAATTTTGAATTACGCGCACCTTACGTAAGCTCTCTAATTGTTTAGCAGACTAACTATTAGCTCTACTATTATACATTCCCCAAACGAGAGTCATACAAAATATATGCATTAGGTATCACTAATTCAGCGCACTCTCAACATAGTATTAGGAATACTTAAGGGCTTATACAGTGAATTGATAATTGTCTAAGAACCTGAAATGCATGGTTGTAAACGTGAATCGACTAGCCGAGCTGATTCTGCTTGAATGAAATCAAAATTTATCTGCCAATACCGCATGAAGTATCAAATTTTGTTTCACCGCTTTATCCGTGATAAAGTCGTACCAAGGAACCATCTCCAAAATCTGCAGAAGAGCAGGTCCGGTAGCCAATGTTCTTTTCCGTTCATTATCGTTGTCGATTTCCATGTCACCACCAAGACGACGTTTTGAAATGAAGCGCATATGGTCAGTATAATAGGTACAATTTGAACTGATTGGGCCTCGGTCACTGAACGGTATACAGTGAACTACTCTAGCATTATCAGAAATACGAGAGCATCGAGGTACTTTAGCTCGCTCTTCGATCATGCCACCCACAAGTGATCTAGTGATAATATGGGTTCCTCAAGTGTTGATAAAATCTTCATAGAGGTCGGAATCGAGTGTTGCTGTTAGTTGTGACAGTGCACGACGTGCAAATTCATTAAGTTGAACAGCTGATGCATCTATTGTTAGTGTGTATAGACCAATCACACGTTGAGACAGTGCCAACGCCTCGTTACGGTTAAAGTAGCTAAGAATAAACAACATTTTTGGAGCTAAATATTACTTTTAACTTCATCCAAATCGCACAAGTCATAGTCAAGGGGCGTGTGGATACTTTGCATGGAGACGGGTGAATGAATATTTGATCTCACAGTTAACAAACATTCGCACTCGTGTCTCCTTCAAGATAGTAATCATATTTGACTGGATATAATTCGGCTGGTCGTGCTGATTTATTACAAATAATGCATGGTTTTGCCTGAATACCTTGAAGAACCCACACTAGTCTGCTTTAGGATGTCGAAAAGTAAATAGTTATTATAGAATTTGGCTATACTCGAAAACATATACTGCTTCAAAGAATTTTCATGCAAATAACATTAGCATCAGCTTCTCCGTGGTTTCTAACTATTGAAATACAGATCTATAAAATTTGATGAATGAGATGTTTGTGATTGAAAGATCAATTGTGTTTCATCGAGTTGATTAATACGCTGCTACTTGTTCTATGAAACACGCAGAACGATGATCCCAACGAAGAGTTCATATTTCAGACCAGTTTTGAGAACACTCTTTGACTATTTTCTTATTTAGCATTTCACTAGTTGTGACAATTTTTGTTGTTATAAAATTAAGAATCACTCAACAAGTTGCAAATAAATGATGTCTGATTAGCTCAAGACGCATTTCTTGTGAGCGGACACTTGATTCACAACTCAAGCACTGACGGTTCTATCAGCGCCCGATATAGTGTGCAGTAATGAAAATATGATATGATTTACGAATCAAAGAAGTATCTATATTCATAAAGTGAACGTGAGACGACATGTTTCAATAAACGATATATTATTAGTTAATTTTACTTGTATGCTATAAAATAAAACACTCACTTCTCATAATATTCAAACAGTTCATGTCGACGGGCTAATTCTCCGCCGCGAACTTTGCCACCAGCAAATGTTTGTCGCCATGCTGCATTCAAATGTGAAGCATTGTGAAAATTTTGAACGCGAGCAGTATCATAAGCGGCTGCTACTCGGTTAGCTGGTCCCAGTGTGGCCTCATTAAATAAATCGAAAATTGCACCTGTATGGCCATCGGTCCAAGTACGACTGCCTACACTTGGATATGTTAATTGTACCGCTGGGGCCATGAGTCGACCACTACTTCTATCAACACTAATGCCGACACCACGTGGTAATCTCATAAAGTCCGACTCAAAGTTTCGGCCAGAAGTACGTGTAGGCCTGTCATCAAAGCATCTCATTCCTGTAGTACCAACAAACGGGCAAAGAGCAGCTCGTCTTCTTCAGTGAATTGAAAAACTGATGCGGCATTGGAAGATAAAAGTGCATATTGCACACAGAATAATAAAATATTGAAGACCACGTACACCAATCGTTGCATCTAACAACAAGCAAAATCATAAATAGTTAAAGTGCCTGAAAACTTCTCACCAGAGATGTACTCAAAACGAAACGGATACGCCTCAATTCAGCTATTCAATTTAGTCACATAATAATAGAAAAGATTTTACATGGGAGAGATATAATTCGCTGTTTCTGTATTTCAAAACTTACCATTGTCATTATATTAATGTCCAACTTCAGGCCTCGCTGTATAGAGCAATAAAAATGAAAATTGTGGCCAAATCTATACTATATACTTCTCATGAATGTATATTCCAAGCTTTTGATTGAATATTCAAATGTAATTCCTGTTATTTCTCTTTATTATGCACACAGGTGGCTAATGCCTTAGTATTACCATAAATTCAGAATAATTAAAAAAGCGATAAAAACTGTATCGAAAATTATCCAACAATAATGAAATACAAAACCTAACCGATTCCTTCTTTCATGCAGATTGGTGCTGGGTGGAATCGAATGACTTGTGAGTGCCTCAGAAATTTAGTCGTCAATATTTCGAAAGAAAAAGTTACTTGGCACGTTTTTGTAGTAGACTTTTAATAATAGTTTTGGGTTAAAATTAGTGACTACTCTCCTGTGAATCAAATGCTATTTGATTTCATCAAGATAAAAAAAATTATTTACACAACAAATAAACAGTAATTGTCTGTCAACTATCAAGTAATTTTCATCATTCTATGATTCTTATCGTACAATGGAAGCTGGTAAATTTCGAATTCTTTGTTTTTTGTTGTTGCAATGAAAATTTTCGAATGAATTCAAACTTGCCAGTAAAATCAGTGGGACAAGACGATTCGAAGTGTTTAAATAGATGAATACATGAAAATCGTAAATCTTTTATTTAAATAGGAAAAATTCAACGTTTTTTCTAGGCAGTTATTGTTCGAGTAATGACAGAACAGTGAATTTTAGACTATTCATTATCGTTTAAACAAAAATATGATACAAAATTGTTGACATGAACATTGCTTTGTTTTAATCTTCTCGAAATCAATAAGATACATGTGATTAATATAAGACGTTGATGTCAAATAAACCGGTTGTCGTAGGTACGTATGGAAAAAAATCAGGTAGTTAAATGAATAAATCATGGAAATTAATTTTAAGTTTAAAACAAATCTTTTTATTAGACGAGTTCTGTCATGTGACACTTTTTTCTTCCCATTCCGAACTCTGATTTTATAGTGAACAAGTTTTCGTTTGAAAAATTGACCATATGAAAGACGAAAAAGACGCAACGAAGAATACGCTAATTACGTAGTATACTGTAGTTCATCAATTTTTTAAAGACTCAAGAACAATATTTCTAGTTTTATACGTGACCAATAATTCTCGTATGATAAAAGTAGAAAACTACTATTCCAATCTCAGGTAGATTAAAAATTTGCCTGAATCATAATAAAAAACAGATTAACACGATCATGTATCTTTTGATTGTGACTGTCGGATCTGACTTCGACAGGAAATCAAAATAAATAGAATGTACGTGTTATTATTTAATGTTAGAAGTACCCATAGTGTATAGATTTTTGTTAATGTGCTCCAACCACATAAACAAAAGCGAGATGTCATATCTCAAAAACCAAACGAGAAATATCTATCGTATTTAAGAAATATGGGGTTTCCAACGAATATTTTGGTGAAAGTAGCTCGTCAAATATTGATTTATGGAGGATTAACAATGACATTCTTTGGCATAGTTGGCTCGTTGGCGATAGTATTCGTATTCAGTCGACATCCATTTAATAAAAGCTCGTTTTCAATATATATCAAAGTTAATGGAATACTTTCAGCCTTTTTTCTCCCGCTTTTATATATGCCAACTGTAGTTACAAATGGCTTTCAAATAAATTTAATTACATTAAATAATGCATTTTGTAAATTTCTATCGAGTTACGGTGCGTTTACAGTATTATCCGTATTGATTATAAATTGGTTCCTACTGTTTGATCGTTTTGCAATATCATCTCGTTCTGCGCGTATTCGATCATTAAGTTCGAAAAAAATTGCCCGAGTAGTCGTATTTAGTGTATTATTCGTCATTTTTTGTTTAGTTGCCTTGCCGAGTGCGATTATTTTTGAAAAAATGCCTATGGACACAAATGTAACATATATTTGTTCCACAAAATCAAGAAAATTCTTATTATTTGGGGCACTATTTTATTTTCCAATAGTGGAAGGTATTCTACCGATTGTATTAACAATTTTCTTTTGGCTTTTAACACGAAAACAAGTTCGAAATTTATGTAATGAACAATTTGTTCGACATTTCGACAGACAACTAACACGAATGTATTTATTTCAAATCTTAGCAAATGCTATTGCATCTGTTCCATACGCGACAATTAATCTTTACCGATCAATAACATTTCAAACGGTGCGAAGTCCAGATAAAGAAAATATTGTTGAATTTTTTCGTCTTATGGCAATATGGCTATTTTATGTTCAATATTGTACTGATTTTTATATTTATATTACTATATCAAAGGATGTACGCGTCGAAGTATTGAAATTACTCTGTAGTTGTCCTCGACTAAGTTCTGATCGCTTTACTGCTATGCAAAGCATGCATTTACCCAGCTCTCAAAGTTTAAAAACTGCATCACGCTGAAACACATTTTCAAAATGACAAAAGAATGTCCTGATGACTGAATTCGATTTTTGTCGACAGCTATTGTAGAAGATAAATACTTAATAAAAGCTTTAGTATGCATGCATTGTAGTATTCATCAAATTCATCATCAACTTCCTAATATGTCACGCATCTTGCATATCTGACGTATGCATGAGTGCTATAATAAATCCGAGTAGTTGAGAAATTCATCGGCGAAAAATATATTGAGCTAAACCAATGTGCTTGTGTTATCAATGTGGTAAATTCCAACTTCGCCGAAAAATCTTGACCGAAGAATATCAAATCAAATTTGATCCATTCTAGATATAGAATTTTATCCTAACTAACTACTTTAATAGTGACTTGATTAATTAACCCCAACTGACTTGGTAACCAAGTCAATTATATCTGCTGCTTGTTTAAACAGGTGCCAACAGGTGTGGATGTGAGTGTGGGTGTGTGCGTGTGCGTGGGTTATCAACACAGATGGTTACCAACTCAGATGGTTACCAAGTCAGATGGGGTTAATTAATCAAGTCACTATTAAAGCAGTTAGTTAGGATAAAATTCTATATCTAGAATGGATCAAATTTGATTCGATATTTTTCGGTCAAGATTTTTATTCGGCGAAAATAAAATTCGGCGAAAATAAAATTCGGCGAAGCTGTACTGATTCATGACTTTTTTAATTTCCTAAGAATCAAGGTCATAGAGACCTCATTACTCTTACTTCAGATAGTTTGCAATAGGAATCTGTATAAACATTACTTGATTAAAAAACACAGCTCACAAGTCACTGCCGCCAAACTTCATTTTAACTCGATCACGTAATAATTTCTTCTACAAGTTGAGGCTCAATTCTATATTTCTTCCAAGATACTTGGGTGCTTCAATGATGCACGAAAAGATTATTGTGTCGTTCGTTTTTATTTTCTTGCACCTGAAACATTAACTTATACATTGAAGAGAGTTTCTTTTTTCTTTTTCCTATTCCTAATCTATATGCACTTCTTGGTATTTCTGAGAACATTTATATGACATCATACCATCGAAAATATAATATATAGTTTAACAACTAGGTTAAACGAACCTTCTGTATACGTCAATCAGTATAGTATTTCTGTCATCACTATCATGTAATTTCAAAAAACAATGTACCCAAGCTCACAAGAATCGAACAGGAATCCATTTGTTACGCATTATCAGGCATCGCTTTGCAAGCTTCAGTCTACTAACAATGATTTGTTGAAAGAAATTCTTCAGAAGAATCATTTATGTACATTTTTTATGGATCGATCAATGTCATGCCTATTGACGCATAGTACTGCTGCTGGAGAAGATCAATATGAATGGACCGATGAGTTTCGAAAGAAATTTCCATTGACAACTTACGAAGACTATCGCGCCTATATGGATCGAATGGTTAACGAAGGAGAAAAAAATCTGCTCTCGGGTGAAAATGTTGTTTATTTTTCTTTAAGTTCTGGAACTACAGATAAAATGAAAACATTTCCACTGACTTCAACAACTATGAGAAAAGTTAGCGAGTCAATGCAATTAGGTCATCATATTGTTCGGAGATCATTTCCGCCTACATCATTTTCACCTCCTAAACAACGATCATTCGTCTTGCTAAGTAGTAAGAAATCTGATTCATTTGAAAGATCGAAGCATGGCATACCAATCGGTCCCATCAGTCAATTTATGTCGGCTGTTCCTTCTTTTTCTCAAAACTATCCATTGGTACCTACGGATAATACTCTTGGATTGGATACTATTGAAGAAATTACTGATTTTGAGACAAGTGTATTCATTCAACTTGTTTTCGCTCTGGCAAATCGCAATACTTACTCATATTCTGTTACTTTTGCTTCAGGATTCATTCACACTGTTAAACTTATTGAAAATTACTATGAAGAAATCAGTGATTGTATTGCAACTAACAGTTTTGAACATAGTTCATTCGTTCAAAAGAATGTTTCTGATTTGAACCTCGTATTGATCTTGAATAAAAAGTTGAATGAAGTAATTGTCGAGCATGGCGACGAAACATATCGAAAGGAGCGAGCTGCACATATTCGAAATGAATGTTCGAAAAAGAATGATCCAGGTATTCTACATCGTCTTTGGCCAACTATGGTGTATGCTTGTACGGCAGTAGGAAGTACATTTGCTATTTACAAAGATAAGGTCCAATTTTATTGTGGAGAGCGAGTGCGTCTTATGAATCTAATAATGTATGGTGCAAGCGAAGGATATTTTGGTTCTCTCGCAAGTGTTCACACTGACGAGTATTTCTTATTGCCAACACATGCGTTCTTCGAATTTATCAAAGAAGAAGATATTGAACAAGTAATATGTTTTTAAAATTTCGAACTTCTTTGAGTGTCATTGTAGCTCGGGTAAAAAAAATAATAATGCTTGTCATGTGATTATCCAATGCGCCATTTTCGACAGTATATTTTCTTGTTTATTACGATGACTCATTTATGAGACACGTGTTTGAAGAGGTGCAATAATAAAAAAATTCCAATCAAACTCTTATCGGTAATAAATGTGAAGAGTTTCTTTTCGAAATAAGTATCCTTTTTCCTTTCGATAAGATAAAAGTCGATTGAATTATACCTTATTATCATAGAAGAAGTGGCTTACATGACTAAGTTCTTAATCACGTGATCAACATGCTTCATTTCTTGTGCAAGTGAAGTACGAAAAGTTCTAACAGTCATCTATTTTACGACGTAAATGTTCTTCAGCCCACTCATCTGCTCAGTGCGCGTACCCAGCACACCTGAAAATTTGGATGAGTAACTTTTTTATTATAAAATACATAGTTTTTAATTCCATCCAAAACAACGAACTTTATTCGAGTTCAAATTGCAAGGGTTTCATCGTATTCTCTACACTATATTATTCTGTTTGTTAAGGATCAGCCCAAAACTCTTCTAGTCTCAGAAATCGAACCAGGAAATCAATATGAATTAGTTTGTACAACCGACGCTGGGTTAGTTCGATACAGAATGGGAGACGTGGCCAACTGTACGAGATTACTTTGTCGTGCCGATAATTTGGTTCCATTACCAAAAGAGCCCGTTGAGATTCCACGAATTCCTCTCGTTTCACACGCATATCGTTCTGGAACATTTTTGTCGATATATGGTGAACGAACAAATGAACAACATGTGATGAATGCTCTTCAGCTGACTATTCATCAATGGAGAGAACAAGGAATACCAGTCAAATTTTATGATTTTACATCACATCCAAATTTAAATGTATCTCCTGTTAAATACGTTATCTTTCTGGAATTGATTACGGATCAAGAATGCATCATTGATTCAGAGCAAATTCAACTTAAGAATACTGCCAATGAAAAAGTCGAGCAACAACTTTGCAAAGCAAACCAAAACTATCTAGATAGTCGTCGTAAAGCAATGCTTGGTCCGCTTGATTGTATTCTTGTTCGAATTGGAACATTCACGAGATTTTTGGACGAATTCTTGCGGATGGATCGCGTGAGTCCTTTACAAGTCAAACCTCATCGAATGTTAAAAACTGAAGGTCACCTTCAATTCTTTTGTGACAATAGAATTGAAAAGTCACTCTTATAATCATGATTTTTACTGCAGTAATAAAGACAATTGAATCGATTTTAATTTGATTTTCCAAAATTTTTTTGTAATTAAAATATTTATCCATTTGAATTAATAAATGCTTCATTTTATTCGCATTTTACAATCAAGAAGAAAAAAAAAATATTATTCTCTGAACCAGTACGATACTGCACGCATTCTTTCTTATATTCATGGAAGAATTACAAGGCAAAAGCGAAAAGAGCAACACCTATAGTGGTGAATGTATGGCCAGTGCATTCATCAACTTGTTTGCCTCTATAACTTATGAATGAATAAATTAGATAGTTTTACAATTTGTATATGTTACAGAGGCGATTGAAATTGTTTTCCTCTTGTCAATGTTTGATTTGAAACTCGAGGTAGATCACAACCAAATCCAAAGGATATATCAGAACTATTTGAGAAGCATGCGTTAGAATATTGCTCTCGATATTACTCAACATGAAAAGATACATTGAGATTTAATCATTTCTCGACGAGTAAGCTAGCGTCTTCATCGAGTGCACTGAAACTATTGTTGCTTACATTCCTATTAGATGATTGCTCTATGTCTATTTCCACTTGGAGACAATCGGTGACTCGTCATTTAAAACATTTGTATTTCGACTAGAAATGCATGTCATAGAGAGTGCACAATTGAATCATTTTGTACACCCCATTCTTGATAATCATGCTTTCAAAAATTTACGGCGAAAAAGGACCCCGAATTTTAATTAAATACCTATCCTTTTGCATCGACCTAATTTGATTTCCTGTACATATACATATATCCTCTGGTCAGTAATCTGCGAATATTCATACGTTTACCGATCAATCGTTCAATTTATAATCATAGTTTGAATATTTTATGAATCTATTTAGAAATCATGCTTATTCCTAAGAGGCTACGTCTGAAAGTAATAAATTATGAATCAATTGTTACACATAGAGCAACTTATAAGGTTTAATTATACATCTAGATGACTTTGAATACATAGATATGACTAGAGACACATATTGCATGTCAAGGCATCAATATTTGATACAATTAGTTGAGCATATATAAATATTTCTTAAATCCAAAATGGATGCATGTTAGTCAGTTTTATTTTATGTGCCATTGTATTTAAGTATGTGTTATGATAATGATGTAATCGTTGAATTGACAATATTGTATTGGCCATGACATTGACACAACTGTTACACGGACAACGAAATATAGTCCTCACTAACTGGAAGAATTGAGCTCGGTAGATTCTAGCTGAAAGAATGTAAAGAAAAAAATGGTGAAATAAAGGATGGATAGAATTACAGTTTTAAGATGATAAAAAGAAAGTAAAACATGTTAGTAAATCGAAATGGGATCGACAGAGACAGCATGATAAAGACTGAAGAGAACGGTAGACTAAGAATAAGATGAACGATTAATTGAAGTAGAAACCTTCGAATCAATTACCAATCTGTACGGCGATGTGTAGTCGTGATCGGAATGACATTTAATTGATTTACATTGTAAATGGTTAATGAGCCGAAAAACATCATCAGACAGTGCGCAATAATGGCAAACACAACCACTTCAACGACGATAAGTATTTGTTTAAATCCTGTATCTGGATAAGGTACACACCCGAGTCCATTCTCTTGACACAAATCGAAAGTAATTGGTATGCTAATAAAAAAAATTCCAATAAAACGATAAGAACTAGAATTAGAAATCGAGCTAGACGTACACTACTGAAACTACGTTGTTGAACAGCGGAAGAAATGCAACAAATTTGATAAACTGAAGCAAATACGATTAAATATACGGAGATGTTTGGACATAAATTCAGAAGATAACTAATCATTTTGCACACAACATTGGAATGATCGGACGGATAGCCATCACAGGAAAAGAGAGAGAACATGTATGGTGATTGGAAGCTGGACTGGTTAATATTAAGATATTGAGTCCATTACCCAATGCACCCAAAAAGACAATGATTGAAACGACAACTCGGGTCGCTTCTATGGCAAGTTCAATGAGCGAGTCAGCCATCACTTCTTCTTATGTAATGAAACTCTTTTCTCCGTTTTGCTGACGTCTCATTATACAAAATATTTATTTTTAACTTGAAATCTAAGTGTAAAAATAGGACGTCCATCAAAACATATGTATGGCGTTATATTTATTGTCATTCTTCGTAATTCAAAAAGCACGAGAAGAATCAACTTTGTCCCTTGAATTTTTCACATATTACTTTGTGTTGCAAGATAATAAGAGGCAATAGTACAGAATTTGTAGAAAGCACGTTTCATTAACAGAAGAATACAATTGGCTACTAGAAAATAATACTGAATTACTGTTTAGAATCCAAAAATGTTGAGTCAGCTCTTTATTGTTGTTTTTTGATAAAATCTTAAAAGAAGTAATGAGAATATTCGCTACTGTTAGCATAGTTTTTATTACGAGTATAAATTAAATTTTTGAAAGCAGATTTAATTATACAACATCGGATACCCATAACTATCGCTTGAATAATATCAAAACTTGCTTCAAGTTTAGATTTTGAATAAACGATCACAAAATGATTGGTCTGTTGTATGAGGATAAAAAGTTTCAGAAAATGTCTCATTTGAGAATGAGCTAAATGGTGTGACTTATTTTGTTTAGAATACCCCTACAACTTTAATAAGAATTCGATAGCTTCGAATCTCTAGATCCGCAGTTGCATGAAAATATATCAATTCACGAAGCCAAGTTCCATTGATTACTGCTGCCTATATGAGCTTCGCCGGATTGGATACTTAAAACCGTTTTATATTTACTCATTAGCATACATTTAGAATGAAGGCCATAGCTAGCAACGACTAATGATCATGTGAGATAAATACAGCTAAGAAGTGCACTAACGTGAGGCCCTAAGGTTTCATAGTTTTGAATCCTGAAAATAGTCAATCGATGGAGTTGCGCAACTTTCCAAAAGAGAAAAACGTCCACCTTTTTTCATCTATGAAGAAAAAGAAGCTTTTCGAACGGGCGATAACACGAGTGTATTCTCCATTTTGCTTATGCAATGAATCAAAATAGATGAGATAACTTCGAAACACAGTGCAGTTGTATATTATTTTGTGTAGGTGGCTTTTTCACTTTTCTACCTACTGAATTATATACCTAAATTATCACATACTTTGTCTTATCTTTTCAGTTGGTTATTCAAATAGTTGTTTACAACAGGTATTTCGCATTTTTTCAAACACAAAGTTGGTAGCACAAATACTTACTCAACGACGAATGCTGTTCGTAAGAATAAGATACTTAACTGATATTAACATACGAATACTATCATGTTGTATTTTTTTTCACTAGCCATTACAGATGTGAAGGTCTTTCTAAGCAATAGAGAAGAAAATCAAACGAAGCTGAAAGAACGGATACCACTTTATATATTCAATAAATGAAACTAACAGTGTTCTTGAAGTTTGATTTTTCGTAATAAAATGAAAAATCTTTTATAGAATGATTTATATAAGTAAATCCGAGTGAAACCAATGTTAAAGATCATAAACCCCAATAAAAGAAAATAATTCTTTTTTTCTTTTGCACAGAACAATACTTTGTACAAGCATGATGCAAAAATATTCAGAGTGCTATTACTCTTGTTACTTTTCCCGGCATGAAAAAAAAATAAGAGAGTGATAAATTGTCATTTGTTAAGTTTTACTTGCCAGGCTTTCTCCACCATTTCATATTCTCTCTAAATGAACGTTGATAGCATCAATGCGAGTTATTTTCTTTCAGATTTTTCATTTCCTCTATCGTCTCGGTAGTATCAATTGAAAACAATATCAATCATGGGAAACAAAGGTGGTAAAAAAGGAGCACCAAAGGAACTCACACCTTCACGTAAGTCCATTCTTTCTATCGTGCGTCATTTTCATGCTGATGATTTTGTCATCTTTAGAAATTGCTATGCTCAAAGCAAATACAAAGTATACTGATAGAGGTATAAGACATCATATTATTGATTTATTTTAATAATTTTCCCCTACATCTTCTTTTCTAGAAATTCGAGAGTGGCATGCCGTAATTAATTTTTTTCGAAATTGCACTTTTGAATAAATATATATTTTTATGTAGGGTTTTCTTCGTGATTGTCCAACGGGTAGACTTAACAAAAAGCAATTTGTTGAGGTATACAAAAAATTCTATCCACAAGGCAAAGCAGATTCTTTCTGCAAGTAACTCAAGCGATATGTTTTGTGTACCATTTTGATTTTCTTATTCACTTTAGTTTTGCATTTTCCATGTTTGATGCCAATCATGATGGAACAAATGATTTCGATGAATTTCTACTTGCTATTGCTGCTACAAGTCAAGGCAGTTTAGATGATCGACTCGCAGTTGCTTTTGACATGTAAGTCTATGATTCATTGATTATCTCTATTATTTACTCTTGTTAAGGTGTGATATTTCGAATGATGGACAAATCGATCAAAAAGAATTAGCTGGCATGATTTTGGCTATGGTAATATTTCAAAGAGCTTTTCTTCCATAGAATACAATTTATTTTTTAAGTACGATCTTACGGGTGAATCTGATCGCAAAGGAGATCGTGATCCGAAGAAACGTGCCGCAGCAGTCATTCAAAAGCTCGATGTCGGTGGCGATCGAAAACTGAATAAACATGAGTTCATCGCTGGGTATGAAAATTAGAATGAGTTTCTTTGTCAATTACTAATCGATTTCTTGTTTTAGATGTAAAAATGATCCACTCATTCGTCGTCTGCTTGCTCCTCACGTTTAAATGGAATAATTTCTTACTAAGAACAAAACTTATTTTTGCATTCCTTTCATTTTCATTTACGTGAATCATTCCACTGTAACTTGTTGTATCCATTCATTTTTTTTAGAATAATAAATGGCAGTGATTCAGCTATTTAAACAAATAAAAATCGTTGTTCTTAAATGTTTAACTAACTACACAAGTGTATGAGATGTAGACCATTTCGAGAATATAGCCGTTGTCTATATATCTTCGTTTTTCATTTAAACAAACATTGCTACTTACCACCATCGTTTTTTGTCCTTTTCGTTATTTTAACTCGCATTTGAACCTGTTGTTTCTTGTAAAAAAAACAATGCGTTCTGAAAACACTTTTTGTTTTTTCTTTAAAATCTCATCTGCTTATTTCCATTCTATTTTCCCAACGTTTTTCTGTCATGAATACTTATTAAAGCAAAATGAATGAAGCAGAACTAAAAGAAAGAAGAGTATTCAGTATGCTAATGTATAGCGGTACGTCAAATATAAGACACAATAGTTTCGATAGAAATTCGCTAGTGTACAACGAATAAATAATGATACCTTGAAGATTCTATCTTGAAGATTTAGAATTGATCAGAAAACATAGTATAACTATGATCGAAAGAGATACCCAGTCAGATACACGTAAGTACATTCATTCCCATATCATCAAGATCGATGCGAGTGATTTTTGCTGAATCTCTATCTCACGAAATTATTATTTTCCTTCTATAAGTTATGGTCGTACATGCGTCATTAAATGAATATGTGAAGGAAATTGATTATGTTTCTCGTGACTCCTACGCTAAGTATTAGCTGATACGTTTTTACGAGCTATTCATTCCGTGCGCATTTATGTCGACAAACCTTCTATTTAAGTTTAAATTATGTAGAAACACACAACTGCAGAAAATATCCATGGTTGCTGCCACTTTTCCCATCAGTAGGAATCGAATTTTCATGAAAGAAGCTACGACATCAGATTAGAGATGTGCAGGGTAAAGTTTTATCTTACCCTGTACCCTGGATAAACGAATTTTCATTTACCGTTATCCTACCCTATCCTGTAAAACTTTTATATTCCTTGCCCTTACCCTGCAAAATCTTTAGAACTGAAGAAAGAAATACTAAAATACCATAAATTATTCATTTATTTCATTACAAGTAATCTACAAAACATTGCAATAAAACCTTTTTTAAATTTCTTTTAAACAAGATATCGTCTACAATATCGTCATGTAAGTTTTGGCGTCGCTCTTCGAGGATTCTTCCAGTGTCACTGAATATTCTTTCGCTTGTGCATGAACTAGCTGGTATACCTAGTAATGATCTTGCTACAACACTTAGCGTCGGATAATTTATACTCTACTGCTTCGAATTAGTACAGCTTCGCCGAATTTAATTTTCGCCGAATAAAAATCGTGACCGAAAAATATCGAATCAAATTTAATCCATTCTAGATATAGAATTTTATTCTAACTAACTACTTTAATAGTGACTTGATTAATTAACCTCATCTGACTTGGTAACACACACCCATGCCCACACACCCTCGAGATATTTCAACAATGTAGAATTTCCATATGTCAATGCTTGAGAAAATAGATAAGAAGAAGTGAGTTTTTCTCTCTGTTTCAGGCTCTTGAAAGTTTTCGCTTTCCTACTAATTCATCAATTTACTTTTTAAAAGTAATCTTTCATTGCTAGTTGCATACGAAATGCTTAGATGTTAAGTTAAATGTCTTTCTCTATTAGTTATCGTCAGTATTTCAGATCACAAGTTATGATTGATTTAACATTTTAAATTACCCACTCAAAAATATCTAAATTTTGAAGTAAACTGAGAAACGTCCTGATGAGCTCGGTAGTAGAATTATTAAATATAATAAGCATCCATTATCCATAGTGAATATTGATAGAAATAAAAATAATCTTGAAGAAGTATTCAAATAGTTAAAAGAAATCAAAGTAGAAAGGTCTAAACTCAAGTTTCGTCGATATTTTATCAAATCTATGAGTGATTCTCACTTTTCTGCACAAATCAGAAATATTTCGTTTCGAATAGTTCGCAATATTCATCTAGATGATCGAAAGTTCATGCGTTTTTAAAACATAATATATTACTAGAAGTACTTTTTACAAGTGTTTGAACCTTTTTCTTATGGTATAAATTCGGAAACTTGTAAAGAGTACTTCTAATAATATATTATGTTTTAAAAATGCATGAACTTTCGATCACCTAGATGCATATTACGAACTATTCGAAATGAAATATTTCTGATTTGCGAAAAAAATGAGAACCAATCATAGATTTGATTGGATATCGGTCGAATAAGCAAAAATTAGCGTTTAATTGGCACGATTGAAAATAATAGTAACAGTCATGGCCATTGATATTAAACTATATTTCTTCTCAAGAAAAAATCGTTTAATATATATCATATCACGAAAAATCATATGTTTAAACACCATGGAACAACTATTTACATTGTTATAATTTAGCGTTTAAACAGTAAAACAGAGTTTTGTCAATTGCCTGGGTTATGGTGCCATTTATTCTCATCACACCTATTACCTTTATCTTTCTGTCCTTGATATTGGTCTTTATCTCTCATTCTCCTTCGTTTTCTCAAATAGTTGAGTATTTAAGCGCGTGGTTTATATGTAATCAGGGTGATTTATGATTTGAAGAGTTCAATAAAGTGTAATACCATCAGCACGGGCATCTCTTCTATCTAAAATCGTCACAGTTATGGATTTACTAAAACAGAACCCTGACATCCACGCCCCACCCCTTAAGAATTGTTTACTTCTTTTGAATCCTTAATTTTTCAACAAGACATTTTATTTATTTAAATGCTAATACGTAACTTATGTTACGAAAAAAAATGCTCATTATGTTGAGATAAGGGATATTACATTGTAAAGAAAATCGTAGAGCAATCAACGGTTGCTCTATGTATAGATTTTCGTAAATCATCGAAACATTTATTACTCTACAATTTCAATAGAAGGGTTTATTAGTTTAAGATTTTGTTGAAATCGTTGTATCGTTCTATGTTCATTCAGTAATATTCTTTTGTATGTGTATTTTCCAATGCGTATGATATAAGAATGCGGCTACCTGCTTTGAGTAAAGTGTTATTATTTCTTGCAGACATGCAGCTAGTAACAGTGAATATTGAATGAATAAGTCTAGGATTGAATGCGAATAGGGGGTAATAATCAGCGGTCGAAGTGAACGTCGAAGACCGAAGTAGCCTAATATGTTGATTGGATACGTCAAATATATACATGAAGCGCTTTAAAAGCGCCAATATATAATTAGATGGTGCTCTTGTATTATATTTAAAAATATATCAGGAATATATAAGTCAGTAGATGAGCAAGAATATTTCTGAAATACATTTGCAGAAAAATATTCTTTCAGATTGTAGATTGAATGTTTTATGTTCGATTCTCATATTGAAACATCTTATATTTCTGCATCCGAGAACATTAAACTCTTTTATATAAAAAGAATATAATTATTGAACTCGATGCATATATTTTAAACTAATATATTATCGTTTATTTGTGTTAAATTTTCTCATTTAAAAAAATTAATTCATATCCAGTTTGATGAGTCAGAAATTACTTTAAACTTATCATTTTATTTTCAACAAAAAATGCTGCTGCTTAACAAACAAAAATGATAAAGCCTTTGGACAACTCGACTCACCCAAAGGTATGAATTTGAAAGGTGATACATTGACCAGAAACAAGTAGTCAGAGGACAAGTCGACTTGTCTCTTAAGAAAAAACTAGCGAAAAAATCTCCATGATTGTATTCAAATCGAAATAAAATTTTAGTACAGTTGTCTGATTTTGGATCAGGTAAACTACGATTATTTCACTGAACTCATTTTCAAATTCTAAACGATACAGCTGGTAAACGTATCATACGTATTACATTAGTTTGTACTATTCTGACAATGGTAAAATATGGACACGCTTTCATTGGTTTACTGTATTTTTCATAAAGAGCAATCGTAGGCATAGGCTGCGTTGACCTTCGGCTTTTACTTCCGTCAATTAGTATTTCCCTACGAATAAGAAAGTGAAGAGAACATCCTTCGCTTTTCGTTTTCTTTATATTGAAGCAAAACAGACACATATTAATTATCTTAGTTAGTACGTTATGATTCACATATATAAAGAAAGACTTTTAATTTAATACAAAATACTTCAGTAGTTTTAATTTTAAATTCGTGTTATCTGAAGGATATATAATGATTTGAACTTGTGAAGAAGTTGTTCAATGTTGTACATCACCTATTGATGCTGATGTTATCATTTCATGATTTGACGGTCAGTTTTTTTAATTTTCGTTGAAGAAAAACGTATGTTTTTTTCTTATGGTAATATATTCTCAGATAGTATACTCCATGTAAATATACGTATATGTCGTTTGTTGTGAGGTTATGCATGAGTGAATTCCAAGCGTATATCAAGGTTTTATGATGCAAAAGTTTATTTTTTTGTTTACGCTTGTTATTGGTCTACTATAATCATTTTATTTGTAAGCAGTTTCGATTAATATATATTTATTAAGAAAAAATTTCAATTTTAGTTGATTTTGTCAAGAAAACAGTACTTACAGAATATTTTACTTTCGCTTTGAAATCATCATGTCATCGTTTATATGTCTACTTTGTCAAAATGGTCGCATGTTTGTAAACTCCGGAAAGTTTTTTCGACGTATTCCAATGTTTTATCAAAATGAAGCTCGGTTTCAAATGACTTGCAGGTTGTCTTCAACATGCGGTGTATCTTATTAAACAATGATGTTGAAAATGATTTAATGGAAATAGATAATGAGAGTGATTTAGATTCATTACAAGATGCACAAGAAGAAATAGATAATAATACAACAAATTCATTCAACTCGCCTGCTAGATGGCGTGAGTTTACGTATCGGTATCGCTAAAGAGATGCTCACACCCACACACTCACTTACC